CAGGGAAAACAGACTTTCAGGGCTATCCAGACAACAGCCTGGGGAATCTACAGTGTCAACTACATAAGACAATTTAAAGTATTAGTTGGACAGTGTGATACTAAAGCTGTTTTTCCAAGAGTCTTTTGTCCTTACTCCCTGTTTTGGTGGGTCCAGTTTGAGAATTACAAATAGAGCAGGGTGGAGGCAAAAGGGAATAATCCAAGTGTCAGGGAGTCTTTACTGTGAATAAAAAAAGGAAAAAAAAAAAAAAAAAGAAAGACTTCAAAGCAGAAACCAGTTACTAGAGCTGGAACCACAGCTATTAGGAGAACTATTATAAGTCTGTCAAGTAGCAATTAGACTACTTTGCAAGAATATTAAGAGCAGTATCTTCACTTCGGAGAAGGATTTGAAAAGGGGAAAAACAGAGAAACCTTTTAGTTTATGGAGTACTCTCTACTGCATTTCAGTTACTTATTTCCTGTTTATTTTCCACTTGAAAAATCACATCCCAGAAACATAATGTAATTTTTTAAAACTTGCATTTATGACCATTCCATTTAAAATGTTTTGTTGAAAAAAACACAAAAAACAAATGGAATGCTGTAAACAGATTTAAGTCAGCCACAAAAAACATTCTGACAGATGTTAGCATCTGTGAACATGGATCTTTCACGACAGTCCTTTCCAATCTGGGCTCTTTTCAAACAAGAATACTTCCAGAGTTTTTTATGTTGTTGTTGTTGATTTCAATATGCTTTATAAAACTTAAGGTATGTTTTCCATACCAGAGGCACAATTTTTCAATGTATTAATCCATCTCCTTGGAATGCTAGTTGCAGCATCTGACACTCCATTTTAGTCGTGCATGTTGCCAGACAGGTTAACCCATTGACTAGATTTGTGTTAGGATAAACAGCAAAGATCACTGGATGAAGAAAAAGGGAGTGGGGGGGGGGAAGGAAATCCAGCTAAGAAATTAATTAGTTCTACAGGATTATCACTTGCCAATAAAACTGTTTTACAAAGAATTACATATGAACGGACTACTTGGAAACTTGCAACAACTTGCTAGACCACAATGAATTACAGCAACCGACTATCATGTTTCTTTGGGCCTGCTCAGAAAGAGAAATGTGATTTTCCTCACTTCTATTTCTTCCAGCCACTCAAACAAATCCTCATCTCTTCTAAATATTTTGCTCCCCAAGGGTCCTGCTTGCATGGTGGCAGACCTTTACACTGCCCTATGATCTGGCAAATGGAAAACAAAATAAAGAGTAAAACTGAAAGAACTACGGATGCAGATCACACTAATTTACTAATTTTTAAAGTAAATGTATGGTCTTTCTTTTGTTCTTAGAATAGAAAGCTATAGCAGGCTTTGTTCAGGTAGGAAATAGGTCGAAACATGCCGAGAGAAGTGTATGAAAAATTTGTCTAGTCACCCACAGATTTTAAAGTGTGGATTCACAGCTATAGCTAACATTGTTTTCTACCAGCAGTGGTTAGTTCTTCCTTCATGACAACACCCTTTTCTGTCCAGCCTCCTCACACAAATCCTCCGAGTGCTCTGACCAGTTTAACTGCCTAATAGTCCTAAAAGTGCATCTATTTTAGTTACACTGACAACCACACACCCAGCCCTGTCCTTTAAGGCACAAAACTGACCAGCTCTATTTTTTACTAAACTCACGTGGCCTGCTCAAAACAAACAGATACTGGCAGGAGCAAAATCCAAATTATACACTGCTTTATCCCAGGAACACAAAGTACAAGGCCGGCTCAGTGAGTCAGACACCTCTGAGCCAGTGAGCTCCTCAGGTTGACAGCAGTCTCTTTGGGATCCTCATACTTGTAAGCCAGGACATTTTCAGAAAAGAATCAAAACAATTGGGTTTAGACAAACATGTGTTGTGTCATTAACAAAAGTATCTCTCTGCCATCAGAGGGGAAAAGGCAGTAAAAAGTATGCCAGGAATGCTGGAAATGGGCAGACAGTCACAGCGAGTCATATTTTCTTCAGTTTTTTTTTTCACCCCCAAGAAACTCCTTCAGCATGAAAAGTCCATTTGCAAGAGCAGTTAGTTACGGGGGAAAAGGCAAATATTTCAACAATAATACAGGGAATGTGGATCCAATTTATGCACAACAGAAGCCGGAGAACTCCTCAGTCTCTGCAAAGATTTCTCAGCATCCTTGGAAAATGCTTTGAATACTTCAGCTGAGCCAACTTCAACCCTTCAAACATATCCCTTTGTCTATCAGTAAAAGACCATGTGTATTTATGAACAATAAATGCTAGATGCATATAGGCAGCCCTGTAGTTTCTATGTTTCACAAGTGTTAGTTTTAATCAATTAAATTAATCCATTTCCTTACAATCAAAATAGAGGTTTCTCCCACAATTTGCTACTCTCTTACTAGAAATTGGATGCCTTGAACCAAATCCATTACTTCCCTTACTCCATGTTTAATTTCATGCTTTTTTTCAGCTTTTTGTCGTGGTTTTTATGCTTCCCTGTGACAACAGCATCTAGGTTATTATGGAGTGCTACAAAAGAAGATATGCAATAGAACAGCCTGTTTAAAATACGAATCAATTAGGTATTAATCTATCTTGATATATATTTAGAAATTTTTGTCTATGAAAAAATGAATAACTCATCTGGCCTCATAAAATACAAACCTTATTTTCCTGGCAGTCTTACTTCACAGAAAGAAATTTAAAAAGGAAAAAGTAAGGTTTTTTAGTTACAAAAGAATAAGCCATCAGTTGGTTCAAAGGACTGCCAGAGGACGTTGGACCCTTTTGCTCACTATCAGGTGACAGACACAGACATTTTTGGTAGAGGAGGTCTCATGTGGATGTTTATCAGCCATGGAAATAACAGCTGATAAAGCAGCAAGAGGTGTTTTTCATTCCTCAGTCTGTAAAAGAAGTGTTCGTTCTCCTCTTTGCAAACGAGAAAGTGGGTTGGTTTTTTTTGATTCAGGATCCAAAACAGAGTCTGATAGTTGTGACCAACAACAAACAAGATGTTTTCTGAGCTGAGACTTCTATGAAATTTGAGGAACTTTCAAGAGACCGGTTTAACAACTGCACATGAGAATACCCAGCTACAGCATGTACGCAGAAGCAACAAGATCTCATTTTTTATTTTATTTCTATTTCATGTTTGACAAAAGAAGTGCAATCCGAGATTTCTGTTTTCTTTCACCCCATTCCTGTGAAGGGTGTGGGCTCAGGCAGGTTAACTACCTCAAATTGTGAGACTGCAAGTTGAGTGTACTTTTGGTTAAGAGTTGGAAATGAAAAAATCAGGTTGAATAACTGTCTGGTGCCCTGACATTTGATCAAATTTAGCTCTCTGGAAGAAAATCTACACTGAGGAGTACTGTCCTCAAAGCCACATATTGATGTGGGCTGGTAAAGTACTTCTCCTCTTACTTTTTAAAAAATATATATGTTTTATTAGAAATTAATTAAATACAAAGCAATGAGTCCAGACAACAAGATGTATCAATTACTTAAAAAAAAAAAAATGTTCACTGTAACTATTATATGTAAAAGAGCTCTTAAATATGTCGGGGAAAAGGCTCTTGATAATTACTTTCCTGTGGGTGATGACCAAGGTAGTATTTTAGGAAAGAATAATCTTCCTAAGTTCCTTCTGGAGTAATTTTATTGATCAATGAGTGCTGTAAATTACCCAGAGGCTTACAAGGTAGCAAGAATTAAGAGGATTCTAGTATTTCAAAAGCTCAAGAAGAAGGACCATTGAGGACAACACTATCCACCTGCAGGGTGGCACAGAGGAACTCAAATTATTCAAAACTTTGAAGAAACCTTTCAAAGCCTATTGCAAATTACATCTGGAGAGCTCTCAACAGGACCTGTTAAACTAATTGCACATCTCCGTTCAAGTCCCAAACTCTGTGAAGAAATGTTTGCTTATGTCCTGAAAGGCTGAACTTAGAACCTTAATACAACTATAACTCACTTTATATATAACTCACTTTAATGATCTTCCTGAGTGAAAAAAAAAAAATCTGATACATCTTACCTTTCAATATTTTAAACCAGCATGAACCAAAAGTTTGTGCAAAACCAAAGGAAGAAAATGCAATAACAGACACAGCTATTATCTCAGACCCAGTGTTGCCGAGAAAGACTGAAATCAGTCTTTGGTCTCAAACCTTGAGAATCACAAAAGAATGAGGAAAGATATTCAATGGTTCAGTATTGGTCAAAAAAACCCAACTGTTTGCCATATCTTTTGTATTTAAGAAAACAAGGTTCAATTCTTGATTCCCTTCACTGTAAACAGAACAGTGTTAGGATGCAAAGACTGAAACATTAAGAGGCTAAAACAACTGGTTGAAAGCTGTGTGTTCCATGAGGTTTGTGTGTAATGTTTCTGCACTGCTGGTTATGTTTTGACACCACAACACTTTTTACTGCAGAGGAATCTGAACTGTTGTGGCCTCCAGATTTACAGAAGTCAACAGGATCTTTTTCCAGCGACTTCACAATGGAATTATACACCTATGCTCCTCTAATAGCATCTGTGCAAAATCCTCATTATAGAAAATTAATTTCTGTGTCTACATTATTTCTTTTTTCCTTCAAAAGACCATTGCACGAGCATAACTTACTAGCAGAGCATACCAGAGACTGAAATAGGCAAATGGGATGTAACAACAATTCCGTGAAACTCAGGGAACAGTATATGATGTTCTCAATTAACTTCTCCTTAATTCATTTTCAATCTTCCTGTCATCTGTTAATGACATAAACTATAGACAGACCCTTCCCTTCTCTGGGCAGGACTACTTCTGTGTCACACTATGCCTATTAAAGAACCACACCACGCCCATCAACTCAGCCTTCCTTGCTGAGTGTGCTTATTCCCCATGAGCTGACAACCAAGAATGACATTTCTGAACTCACTCCTCTTTAGTTTCTCATATATCACAGCCCCAACAAAAAAGTTCCCATGCATCTTATTACTCACCTAACATTTGGTGGATTGGAATTCGTGACGGGTGCTGCACAAAGAGGCTTGTTTCCTTGAGTGTGGCTTCTGTACCCTTCTCTTGCAGGCAAACAGTACACCCTTTGGATAACCACTTGTACCTGCACTTCTCTCCATCCCACTGCTCCCTGGCTTTCCACCATTTCAAGCAGAGAATCATTAACAGCACTCAGTGCTAAGGGATCCCGTTTTGAATCACTGTTGTTATGGGTTTGTAGAGCACAAGGAACCTGGTGAAGGAAAACCCATTAAGAGAAACATTCCAGAGAACCTTGAAATTATGTAGAGCTAGAGAAGAAAATGCCATCATGAAAAATCAAGCTGCAAGTGCAAAATCAGTTTTGAAATACTTACTGCTGCTAAAGTAACTTACAGACTAGTGGCCAGTTATTTATTGTGTATTTTCAGTAAACACTCAAGAGAGTTGCACACATGGTGTGCTCCCATATTTAACTGGTGCTCTGGACTCAGCTAACTCAACCTCTGAGAGATGAAGTTGACACCAGCAGGAAAACAGAACTGATATTAGCTCTTATGATTCTTCTCCTTGAATGGAGTTTTATTTTGGTGTTCTGTTCCTTCCTCTTCTTAAAAAAAAAGGGCAAAATTCATCTTGAATGCTCCCAGACTTTTAAACAAAGATGGAAATGAACAGGTGTCTAGTTTTATAGACTCGTAAGCTAGTCCTCAGACTTCCACATTTCAATGGAAAATATTTCAGTGTTAATGAATTAGGTTATTAACGAAAAATAGAAAACTTTTAAGCCAAAACATTATTTTTCCACTACTTTCAAAACGTATTTTATTAATAAAACCTTCCAAACTTGCAAAATAAATTTAATTAATACTATAGTTTGCCTTAATCTAAATGAGAAATGTAATTTATCATAATTTTAAAATAAATTTCTCTCGATAAAGACTGTATGCAAGCATAAACTAACATGGTCTATATATATAGGTTCCTTTGCAGCATAAGCCAAATTTCTGTTTTCATAATGAAACCTGTTTTTATAAAAAGCTGTGTGCAAAGAAAGGTTTCCAGAGAATCACCGACTATGCCGTAAGTATTATGCACCAATAAAGAAGGAGAATTTGCAGTATTTACAAGAAAATTGTGGTACGACACTGCTCTTTGTCTACAAAGTGGTTGCAATAAAACTTGTCTACCAAGTTTTAAATGAAGTGGTTTGTTTGTTAGGAGCCATGAGGGGAACAAGTAAATTGTTCTGGCTTTCAAATACCACCGTAGAAGCTTTTTACAAGTCAGAGCTGAAGCAAGAAATTCAATTAGGATTTGATTTATGTAACTTTTAAATTCCCAGGCCTATAATGGGAATTATATATAAAGCAAACACAAAATGTTGACACTCATGGTTCTTCAAACTTGAAGGGCCAAACTTGTCAAATATTAAGAATCATTTAGGTAGCCAATATAAAGCTTTTACAAGAGCCTTACTTTCAGAAAGTGCTGGCACACACTGTGAAGAAAACAAATCTCTTAAAATACCTCGGCTTGTACAACCACAGCTACAGAAATGCAGAGTCAGTAGTCATTTTAATACAAATAAAGTCAAAGTACGAAAACAAACTGAAGGGGTGGAAATGGGCAGTGATGTTATCAATTGATGCTTTAAAGAAAGGATAGGATCGATAAACAAAAGAGTTAAGACATAGGAATAGTTAAAAGGAATATTTATTTTAAATAATATCTTGAGTGAGTTAGAAGAAAACAGCTATTTTTAGCTATTCATCTATAAAGAACAAGAGAAAAATCAATGAAAAACCAAGTTATAATTACTATTTAGCACAGTAGTGAGATTTCAGCAAAACACCCTCACAGCAGTTCAGCATTTGGATAGACCAAAAGCCTCCACTAAGAAAATGTTATTAAAGTAAACACTACATATTATTCAGCCTTGACTAAATGAAAGGGAAAACCAAACAGGTCAGTAATTTAGAATTTTTGTTTTTCTTATGATTTCCAAACATCTGCTCACCAACTTCTTACCAAGTGCTTAATTGAGAACCAAATGGACTATACCTGATTATCTGAAGACTCCTGGTGTAACTTATCATCAAAGTCATCAAGTCTGAAGGTCTGTGCCAAAGATATAATATTCTTCCTGATAGGCATCTTTGTAAGACCATATGTCTTCTCTCTGGCTTCTGAATGTTCACTGAGTAGCACCTTCTGGCTAAAGTAGGTGTTCATGATAACAGGAACATCTGCATTTTGGAGAAGCAGTTTTTGCCTGGAAAAAAAACCAATTTAAGTGGCATCAAATCCATTACAAGTTAAATTACCGACAAGCACTATTTTAAAATGTGTATTGCATTGCATTTCTCTCCCCCTTTTTCTACAGTTACCACTAAAACACTGCAGAAGTGTGTTATCCAATTTGCAAATTACCCACGCCACAGACAGAGTCCAGAGTCGGCTTGGATCAGCCGTCTTAGCTCAGCATAGCCCTGGGCGATTGGAGACCCACTGCATCCAGGGACAAGTTACACCTGGAAGCCAGCTGAGCTGCCAAGCCCCATGAGCCCCATCTGGCTTCACACAAGTGCTACTTGGTGTCTCTGTGTTGTCAGCACAGACCTGAGAGCACCAGGACCCTCAAACCTGCTCCATGTTACTTCAGACCACTGACCCACTGGACCCAGCCTGACCCTTGCAGGACATTGCCCTCTGGTGAGTGCTTCCCACCAACCCAAATTCATTCTCATACAGCTGGTAGCAAGCTGCTCCTTCCTCCTCTATTTTTCTAAAAGCAAAATCCTATGCTTTTCTTACAATATGCTGTATATTATCTTGACTGTGTGTTTGTCACTGTCATAAATGTGCTCTCCTAGATCCAGTTTTGGCTTCTAGTGCCAATATAAATTCCCTAACAGCTCCGCAAGCAGCAATTTCTTACCCACCAGATTAAGAGAATGTTTGCAGAATCTCTAAACACACAATAATTTTGTGCCAAAGCACGTGCTGATGTTGGGTTTTTCTTATGCTGGTATCACAATCGCACATTTAGAAGTACACTTTTTATACTCACAAGACACACATCTAATGAAGTCAGCTAACAAAACCAACCAGTAATCTCATTTCCTACAGACCATCAAAACAGACCAAAATCCACTTGGTGACTTTACCACAGTCTGTATTTTTCTTCTATTAGATTTTTATCACCAAGGCATCAAACAACGCCTCCTGCCCCGGCAGCAAAGTTGCGCTGACCTGAATTCACAACTTCAGTCTCTAGACTGCTCAGCACTTAGATTATGGAGACGAAGCGTTTCCACATCTGTGACATTGTTTCTCAAAATATAACCATACAGAGTTAAAAAGCAAAATGAAGCAATGAAACACTCAAATATACTTATTTCTGATCTCAGTCCATACAAGGTCTTTACCATGGTCTGCTCTTCAACAGACTCCTTCACTTTTTAGAGAGTGGATAGCTAAAGGGAGATTGATGTATTCATATTTTCAAAGGCATAGGAAGAGATGCAGCAAGCTTTAAATATAATCTCTGTTATTTTATAATTAGGAAAATAAAACAACAGCCAGATGATCTCTGCCTTCTGAGAAAAAGGATACATTTAAATATAAATTATGAACAAGATGTGTTGCTTCTACTGTGAACACTCACACAAATTATTATTTGAAACAGAAAATTCATGAAAAGTTATAGCATGAAACTAAGGCCTGAACTTCACCACAAAGAAGCCTTATTGCCATCTGTGAGCTCACCAGATTTAGGGGAGCAGCAATTCATCTCTAAGGGACACCTAGTCCCTTGACTTCAGATGCATTTGCTAACAAAGCTCCCAGTTTAGAGCATGAAAATAGCTCACAAGGCTGCCAAACTGACATTGCCTGACAACTTTCTGCATTACAGGATTAAAACTGAGGAATTAGATTGGTCAGCAAGCTGAGACTCTCTGATTTTACGAGATTTTTCAACTGTTCCTTACCCACTTTTTTCTAGAGAAAGAAAAGTATATAAATTTACTACAGATCTCGGAACAGTTTGGGCTGTCTTTATAGGCAGATGTGTAATGAAAATTTTAGCACCTTCTTTCTTTAGATGTCTGTGTTCAGATCCAAAGTAAACAGGAAATCTTTCTGAACACGAGACCATTACGTCATCAATGTCAGAAGAATTTTTGCTTGATCTAAAACATCTCATTCTCTAAAAAAAACCACTGACGTTAGCAGCAAATCATTTGCAGAAACTTTGAGGTTTATGGTTTTATTTTTATTTTCCTGAGCAGACATGTGATCAGGTTTTTTGGTTTTTTTTTAAAGGCAGGTAGGTTTTATTGGTACCCAAATGACGTGTACCTTGGTTTTGCTGTGCTTATGCATTCCATGTCTCAAGTACCTTTATAATTGCCAAGAGCTTTCCTGGTGAAGTACTCATTATTTCATCATACCTTTACATGGGCAATGCATGAACTACTGGCTACCTGGTATTTCCACAAAGCAAAAGTGGGGAGATATATATATATATGCTCTCAGGAGAAGCCTCTCACTTCTTAAATGCTATTTGTTCACTAAAAACACTCTCCTGAAGCAATCATTTGTTTTAGACCTGCACAGATGTGCACTGACTTAGCAGTAATTTTTCAGCTACATCAGAGGAATATTCACATACATCTACTTAAATCTTCCCTACTTCTCAATGGACAGATACCTCGTGATGAAAAGAACCAGGAATAAATAGAAATTAATCCCAAAAGGAATGAAAGAAATAAGAAAAAAGTGTGTAATAAGCTCACTGTTTTGTGTACAGGCAGATGGATAAGTGGAAATATTTTATACATATATGTACATATATGAAACAGAAAATTATTTATATTTTTAATTCAATATATAGAATAATTGTATTGTTTATTTACATTATTACCAATTTTTATATATTTTTATTCTTCAATATAAGAATTATTAAAATAGTATCATTTAATTGAATGAAAACTATTTTCCCAGAAATTCTTTCTAGTACTGCTCAGCAAAAGCAAGCTCTGTGGAATGGGAACTTTGACTGTCATCATGGCAGAAGTTTCTGCATTGCCATTGCATATTGTTCATACTGTTCTTTGCAACAAAGGCAATCATGTTAGAGACACATGTATACCTTAAACTCTTTTTATCAGTTTGAAAGGTACAGACCGGGGCAAAGAAAGACTATCACGCTGGAAGAGTTGAGAAAAGAAAAATCACTTCCCCAAGCAATCCCGACATGTGCTGCCCCTGTGCCTGAACACACCATAATTGATCACCTCAACTTTAAGCATCTGTTCCAGCTGCAGATTCTCTATACCCAGAAGCAGCCTTACTCTAGAATACAGAATACACTGCAGCATCCTCTTACACATAAAGTGTTAAATGGGCATTGCAAGTCTTCTGTGGCCTCTCATATTGCCTCTTTTCTATCTGCTTCATAATAGTTCAAGAAGCTAGTTTTCAAAGAATGAGAGACATCATCTCATTCAGCTAATCCAAACACAATGGAAAAATTTAAGCTCTGTACAGATCATAAACCCCTCTGAAACAATCCCCTTGTCCTCTCTAATTTTTTCTTGTTCAGCAAAGTATTATTTAAAAGTTGGATTGACTTCCTTAATAACTGCCTTTAGACCTTTGTAATGACCTGAAGTAGAGACTGGGAACTTTTTATATTACAGGGCATTTTTTTTCCCGGTATGTAGACAATCAGCAATTGCCGTAACTGGTCACATGCTAAAGGAACATGAGGCAATACTGGTTTTTTTTTTTTTTCTTTTCTTTTCCAGCAGCAGCTTGCTTCTCTGTCCAAGAACGTAGCTTGCTTTTTCTCTTCCTCCCTCCTATGATGGAAGTTATCTGGCCAAGTAGGCAGCAGACGTTCTTGCCCACTTCTGCGTTAATCGTGGTCTGTCTCCATCCGAGATGCGAAATGCTGCAGAACGTACAGCATGGCACTGGGTAAAGGAGCTGACATTTACATTTGAGGCAGGGTCCTAATCCTGGGGCCAAACAATCAGCAGGTTTGCACTGTGGTCTGCCCTGCACAGCCCATCCACAGCCAGCGAGGAGTTGTGACTCCACAGCAGCAGCGAGCTCACAAACCACACGCTTCCGCTCAGTTCTGCTGACATCAAACGGCAGTGCTGGTTCATGAACTTGAGAAGACTCTGGATCACTTCAAATTAGAGAACATATTTTTTTGTTCACTCTCCCTGAGTATTTTACTGGGCTTTTGGGTTTTTTTGCTGTTTTTTTTCTTTTCCTTTACAAAGTGTGCAATGCCTAGAGTGTTTTTTTTGAAGAGTACACTGCATTAAATGAACACCCGTACAACGTGCACTGTAATTATGAAACAGGCTATTCTCAAGTCTCAGAACAATGATTTCTGCATAAAGCAGGTTTAACTTCCATCAAGTAGCACAGCAGTAACACATGCAGAACAAGAGCATGCCAGAGCCTTACACTGTTGCCCAGAAGTATGAGGAATCATTCCCCATAGGAACAACATATAGGGCCCATCCCTGACTTCCTAGGAATCACTTGTTTTATCCAATGTAGAGGAAGTTGTTCATGCTGCTTCTCGCTTAGGGTTGCATGGCACTTGCAGTGCTTTTCTGTGAAATGTCCAAGAAATGCCTGAGCATTGAGCTAATGATAATAATTAAGAAACAAATCCTCCCAAAACCCCAAAAACCATAAGTTCAGACAAATCTCAGCCCACCCATCACCCAAGGACAGTAACTATCTTCTCAGTATACGTCCCAAATCAACAAGCCATTTGTGACAGACCTGCTTTCTGCCATGCCTAGAGATTGCCCAAACAGAGAATTTTCATGCATGAGTGAGTAATCTCACCACTTGTGTGTGAGCCTCCATCAGCGTCACTTACTGCCGCTGTAACGCTGCATGGACACTGCAAGTCTGAGGTCACACTTTCACAGCACAAAACTTCTTCCCATGCCCCGACATCAAAAACAGAAAACAAAAATCAGCTGGTATCTCTTTCTTTGAAATTATCTTCATCAAAGCAATGGATTATTGTAGTACAAGTTCCCAAGGCTGATTGTATCCTTTTCCCTATGGAAAAGTAGCATTAACCATCCATAAGATCAATGTCCAGAGTCACATCTGGCAAATATACAATTCTCAGCTGTGTCAGGTTTCCAAAGAAATGTGGCTTCAACACTTCAGAATAGCAGATCTGCAGAAGATGTAACAATAAAAAGCTAAAATTTCTGCTTTTAA